GATAGGATGAGCAAAATCGAATGAATCTTCCGCTAGAACTTCGAAACATGCACTGCTACTGGCAGTGTATATTTCCATGTTCTAGCGGTAGATTCATTCAATTTTGCTCATCCTATCGATGGACGTAACATTTCTCTCTCTCTCTCACACACACACATACACACACGTGTAGCACGAGGAGCAGTAGGAGGGGGAGCGGGAGAAGGACGATTCATCATTTGTTGTTGTTAAGCGGTGTGAAAGGGAGGACAAGAGAGAGAGAGAGAGAGAGAGAGAGAGAGAGAGAGAGAGAGAGAGAGAGAGAGAGAGAGAGAGAGAGAGAGAGAGAGATTTTGCTCATCCTATCGGTGGAAGTAGCGGGAGGCGAGCCGTGTAGATTGCCGACGGGTGAGGGCACGGCCCGCAGAACGAGCGGGAGGAGGAAGAGGGGACGGGCAGGAGGAAGGGGGGAAGAGCAGGAGCAGCAGCGGGAGGAGGAGGAAGAGTTGTCAGGGCAGGGAGGTGGCAATCGGGGGAAGTAGAGGTCGGGATGGAGAAATGGGATCGGAGAGGGAAGTCGGGATCGGGGGACAGAGGTGGGGATCGATGGGGGGAAGTAGGGGGAAGCAAACCGGATTGGGGAGGGAAGTCGCTGAACGGAGGTCGGGGAGGGATGTCAGAGGAGGGAGTTGGGATCGAGGGAGAGGTGGGGATTGGTGGAGGGAAGTCGAGATCGAGGGAGAGGTGGGGATCGATGGAGGAAAGTCGGGATCGGGGGAGAGAGGTGGGGATTCGACGGAGGGAAGTAGCGGGAGGGACACTGGGATGGGGAAGGAAGTCAGCGAAGGGAGTTCGGGGGAGGGAGTTCGGGGGAGGGAGGTCGGCGGAGGGAGGTCGGCAAAGGGAAGTCAAAGTATGGACGTTGGAGTAGGGACGTTGGAGTAGGGACGTCGGAGTAGGGACGTCGGAGTAGGGACGTCGGGGGTACTCGGGGGAGGGAGGAGAGTCGGGATGGGAGTCGGGATGGGAAGGGAGGTTGTGGGCGGGGGTCAGTGCAGGGACGGAAGTCGGGATGGGAAGGGGGGTCGGGGAATGGAGGTCGGCGGAGCGAAGTCGGGGTAGGGAAGTCGAGATGCGGAGGGAAGTCGGGAAGGGAGGTTGGCGCGACTCGGTTTAAGGAAGTCAGTGGAAAGAAGTCGGGGGAGGGAGGGGGACTGGGGACATGGGGGGGTTGAATCACGGGAAGGGAGTGTGGAATAGGAGGTGGTGTGGCGGTGTATATTTCCATCACAAAAAAAAAAAAAAAAAAAAGGAAAGAAAAGGAAGAAAAAAAAAAAGTGTGGCGGTGTATATTTCCATTTTCTAGTGGGAGATCGAGATTCGTTCGATTTTGCTCATCCTATTGATGATAGTACCCTCTCTCTCTCTCTCACTTACACACACACACACACACACACACACACACACACACACGTGTACCAGGAGCGGAAGCAGGAGGAGGACCAAGGGCGGGAGGAGGAAGAGCGGGAGGAGCAGCAGGAGGGGGAGTAGGAGAAGGATGATCCATAGTCTGTTGTTGTTAGGCGGTGTGAATGGGAGGATGCGCGCACACGCACGTGAGAGAGAGAGAGAGAGAGTTTGGAAGATTCGTTCGATTTTGCTCATCCTATCGATGGGTCGTTCGATTTTGCTCATCCTACCGATGGAAGTAGCCCTCATGCTACTTCCATTGATAGGATGAGCAAAATCAAATGAATCTTCCGCTAGAACATCGAAATATACACTACTTCGATTTTGCTCATCCTATCGATGGAAGTACCCTCTCTCTCTCTCACACACACACGCACACACACACACACACACACACGCACGCACGCACGCACGCACGCACGCACGCACGCACACACACACACACACACACACACACACACACACACACACACACACACACACACACAGACACGTGCTCGCGCGTGTAGTAGTGTATATTTCGATGTTCTGGCGGAAAATTCATTCAATTTTGCTCATCCTATCGATGGAAGTAGCGTGAGGCCAGTCGCGGTGTGTGTGTGTGTGTGTGTGTGTGTGTGTGTGTGTGTGTGAGAGAGAGAGAGAGAGAGAGAGAGAGAGAGAGAGAGATTTCCAGCCATGCACGCAGAGAGATGGAGAGAGAGAGAGAGAGAGTTTGGAAGTACCCTCTAGCAGAAAATTCATTCGATTTTGCTCATCCTATCGATGGAAGTAGCGTGAGGCCAGTCGCGGTGTGTGTGTGTGTGTGTGTGTGTGTGTGTGT